GGGATGGATTCCAGGGGTGGGTTCCGGGGTGGGTTTCTGGGGTGGATTCCTGGGATGGGTTCCTGGGATGGATTCCTGGGATGGATTCCTGGGATGGATTCCTGGGATGGGTTCTGGGATCCTGGAGTGCCTCTGGAGGGGGGCTGGGCTCAGATGATGCCGTTGGGGGGGCCGCAGATGGGCCCCAGGTCCACCCCGTTCTTCATGTAGTATTTCTCCAGCTTGGCCAGGATGTGCTTCCCGTAGGTGTATTTGCGCAGGGTGGCGATGTGGGGCCGGATCTGCCGGGGAAAAGCAGGAAAAAACCGGGATTCAGAGTGGATACAGCCACCCCCACCCGGCCCCGGGACACACGGACGCCCAAAGGACACCCAAAGGACACCCAAAGGACACCCCACATTCCCGGGAATCCCGCTGAGGGTCCCCAGTCCCACCGGGACTGTGCAGGAGGAGAGCGCTGGGGTTTGGGATTTAGGGGATTCTGTGCCTGGCAAGGGTGAGGTGGGATTTTGGGAAGGGATTCTTGGCTGGGAGGGAGGCGAGGGATGGGATTCCCAGAGCTGCCCCTGGAGGGGGCTGGGATCAGCCTGGGGCAGTGCAAGTGTCCCTGGATGGGATTTAAGGGTTCTCCAACCCAAACCATTCCAGGATTCTGGGATTTCACCACGTTTTCCTCTCCAAGTGGGAAGAGGCTGTGGATGTCCAGCATTCCCTGCTCCAGGGTGGCCACATCCCAATCCTGCCCATAACCAGGAACCCATCCCAAAGCGCTCCAGTCCCCCCAATCCCTGCTCCTCTCCAAGGACCACAGATCCCAGCCTGGCTCCCCATCCCCAGCAGGAATGACGCCTGTGCCCAGCAAAAACCGGGAATTCCAAGCAATTCCAACCATTCCTTCTCTGTCCAGCTTCACCCCCTTTTTTCCCTTTACTGACACAACCGTTAAAAAGTCACTTCTCAATTTAATTTTTTAAATAAAATCCCATTTTAAAGCCCATCCCAGCCTGCAGTTTTCCACAATTCCCAGCCGTTCCCACAGCCCCTGGCTCCGTTTTTCCAGGCTTTCCTGCAGCCTGGGATCACAGCTGAAATCACATTCACTCAGGCCCATTTAGCTGTCAACCCTGAGCTATTTTTGACAGCCCCACTGATAATCTAATTTGCATTTTATTCCAAAGGCTTTGCTCCATGGGAAGAAGAAAGTAAGGAATGTCAGGAACAATCATTCGTGGTTTGTTGTTTTGTTTTTTTTATTTTAATACAGAACTCTCTGTTATGGATTAATAAATCCAGGGCCCTTCTGCCACAGATAAATTGGGTGTATCCCTTGCCAGATCTCTTTATTTAATTATCTTTAGCATTTCTTGTGGACTAAAACAGATTTGGGGTTAAAAGAATGACTCTGAGTGGCTCCTAAAGCTGAGAATTAACATCCCTGAGGATTATTCCAGCTGTTTGTGTTGATTCCCTGCATGTGGAGCTCAAAACAGCTCCCTCACACCAATTCCCGTTTCTTACGGAAAAAATCAGTCTGGTTTACTCAGGGGTGCTTAAATGTAATAATAAAAATGCCTCATTAGCATTTGAGCACCTGACACTGTTCAAAATAAATAAATCTCAGCTTTTCCATGCCTGGGTCAGTCAGGATTTCATCTCTAGCTGTGCCTGGGATTTTTCATCAGCAAACCCCAAAAAATGTCACTGAGGAAAATTAAAACCCCCTCAGTGCCACCCCCATTTCGAGCCTGCTATTCCCCATCCATTGCCATTGTAAAGCTCTGCAGATGTGACCTTTAAAAGCAGGAAAATGAAGATATTCCCTGCTTCCAGAGCTCCCTGCCCTTGGAGCAGCAGGCACGGGGCCCTGGGGGTGGCAGCGAGGCAGATTTCATTCCAAACATCTCAATTTTGGCTAAATGTGAACTCCTGCATCCGAACGCGGCAGGGCAGTGCTGGACCATGCAAGCTTGGGCTGGCAGGACGATTTCTGTTCATGGAAAGGGATTTGGGCACTGGAAGTGCCCAGGGAGGTTTGGAGTGCCCATCCCTGGCAGGAGGTGACACCAAGCGCTCCAGAGGGGACAGGGGGAGGATGGGGCACAGGCTGGAGCCTTGGAAGGCCTTTCCAGCCCCAGGGATCCCGGGATTCTGGGAAGTGTCACATCCAAACTCATTTACAATGAGAAACAGGATTTGATTTGTGGCTGCGGGCACGGAGGTGGCACCAGGCGAGGCCAGCAGCCCTGGGAGGGACACGGAGGGACAGGAGGGGCTGGCACAGCCCTGGGGACATGGGCAGGGGACACAGCCCCAGGGACACGGGCAGGGGACACAGCCCCTGGGACACGGGCAGGGGACACGGGCAGGGGACACGGCCCCAGGCCTGGGGGGCTCCTGGGAGCGCTGGCTGTGCCCCAGCCCCCAGAGCTGCAGGCCCAGCCCAGCATTGGCAGCACAGCAGCGCCTGCTCCCTGCAGAACTGGGTCACTGGGACACGGGCACTGCTGCCAGCTGAACCCCAGGGACAGCTCCCTGTCCCTCCAGAAAGCTGGAGAGGGATTTGTGACAAGGGAATGGAGTGACAGGACACGGAGAATGGCCTGAGATTGGAAAAGGTGGGATCTTGGGCAGGAATTGCTCCCTGGGAGGGTGGGGAGGGGCTGGGCTGGAATTGCCAGAGCAGCTGTGGCTGTCCCTGGATCCCTGGCAGTGCCCAAGGCCAGGCTGGACATTGGGGCTGGAGCAGCCTGGGACAGTGGGGGTGACCCTGGGACAGTGGGGGTGTCCCCGGGGTGCAACAGGACGAGTTTTGAGGTCACTTCCAACCCAAAGCATTCTGTAATTTCCATCTTTCACCTACTGAAACCCCCCCAACCCCTCTGCCAGCACCCAGCCCCACCTCCCTGCACAGCCCAGGCAGCAGCTGCTCACCTTGTGCATGACAATCTTCCTCTGGGCCGGCTCTGCCACGTCGATCATCTTCTGCACCACGTAGTTGGCGTACTGATCCTTCATCATGGTGTATAAGGCACTGTGGGGGCCGTCGTTCATGGTGCACACCTCGTCGATGAGCATGGCGCGCTCCGTGCGCGACGCGTGCGTCACACACTTCTCCACCACGTTACTGCAACGGCAGGAGCGGCCGTCAGCGCGGGGAGCGGCTCCGGGGGCTGTCACCCGCACAGGGAGCGGCTCTGGGGGCTGTCACCCGCAC